AGTGGTAGAGTGCTTGCCTAGCACAGGTAAAGTCCTGGGTTTGATCCTCAGCACCACATAAAAATAAATAAATGGAATAAAGATATTGTGAAAATAAAATTCTTTTAAAAAATGGAACCAGGGCACTTGAGACACATGCTCAGAACTGGCACACTGTTATTTCCATTGGATTTTATTGGCCAAGACAATTCACAGATCAGCACAGATTTATAGGGTGGGTATTATGGTTTGGATCTTAGATGTCTTCCCAAAAGGCTCATATGCTTTAGGCTTGGTCACCAGTGGAACTGTTAGGAGGTGGGAACTAATGGAGGAAGTTAGGTCTTTGTGGGGCATGCCCTTGAAGGAGCTATTAGAACCCTGGCCCTTTCCTCTCTCTTTCTCTTTGCTTCCCTTCTGCCATGAGAATAATTGCTTTCTTCCACCATGGTGTACTGCATTAGCACAGCCCCAAAGCAATTGAGGCCTAGTGCTCAGGGACTGAAACCTCTGAAACCATAAGCCAAAATAAACCTTCTTCCTTTCAAGTTGTTTATCTCAGGTGTTTTGTCACAACAAGGGAAAGCTAACACAGTGGGTAAATAAACCTCATCTCTTGATGGGAAGACCTGCAAGGTCACATTGGAGGTATTCATTTGCCATCAGTGCAATCAATTACAATAGCCTATTTCTAATGTCCTTATATTAATATAATGTGTTAGTTGTTATGTATTTAACATAGGGGGCAGACATTTTCTTTGATTAGTCAATTCTTTTCATGTTTTGGACTTTGATAAATAAGACATCAACAGTATAGTGTTGATTTAGATTAAAATATGGACCATTGGAGTAAGTTCAAGGATCTTGGAGCTGATCAAAGAAAAGACATGACCACAAAGTAGTAGTAGCACACAATACACACTTTATTTGGGCAACACATGGGCTGGTTTGCATGAGAGAAGTCTCTTATAGCAGAGGCCTTCCAGAAACAGTGATGTGGAGCCACTACCCAGAATGGGAAAGGTTAAGGGAACTCCATAGGAGAGGGGAACCAGAGAGGTGTCCTATGAGCATAGCTGATATCACTCAGCAACAGGTTGGGTGTGGAGGTCTCTGGGTCAAAGAGCTCTGTAGGACTGTGGTGGCTTGAGGTCTGTTATGGAGCCCCTAGGGTTGTCTGACTGATGGCTAATATATGTTAGGTAAAGTGGAAGGCTCAAAATGTTTAAACTATATGCTTATTTGGACCATGTTTTGAAAAACTGGATGTCTGAGAATTTTAAGTTAAAAGCTAGCAGGTTTTGGAAATTCTGGTTAGGACCAAATATGAAGAAGTAAGCAATATAGATGTCAATATATGGGATTTACCTTTGGCTTCCTATGAAATCATGCATATAATATTTGTATAACAAGCATGTAAAACACACCTTGCTATTTCTAACATCTCTCCTTTTTTATAACAAAGAAGATAATCTTTCGTATGTTCCTGGAACCAGCTGGGACACCCAAAAGAAAGGTTAAAAAGATATTGTAGCAGTTTTATTTTCAATTGGGACTTGATTTGGGGGAAAATATGTTGGAAAGAACTGTCAGAGGGAACAAAATATGAGTGGAGTCGTAGGTACCTTCAGGGTAAAACAAAGTCACAGAGGTGCAAGTAACATTAAATATGAAAACACCACGTTTTGTGAGAAATCAATCACAAAAATGGAAAAGAAAAACTTCACAAGCATTGATAAAAGGAATATTTTTATCAATATAAGGAGCTTTTTGTTATCTAGTCAAAATATGTTGAAAACACAGAATAACTTTTCCTTTGTCCAATTAAGAGCAGACTATGTCTTAAAAAATCAGTTTGTCTACAGTCACATATATTTAAGAAGAAAGATATTTAAAAAATCACTTTGTCAGTATAATAGTAAGGATTTAAAATTCTAATTTTGTTTTTTTCTTGGTATCCTACCTGTATCATATAATTAAGTGTTCACAATCGTTTCTCTATTTTATGCTTAAGTTAGTAAAATTCACATTTGTCAACATTTAATATATTTCACAGCTTCTTTTCCAACCCATTATTTGTAAATACAACTCACTTTTTTCAACAAGCCTTCTCTAAGTTCTATACAGCCTCAAACTTGTCTTTTGTTTAACTTCCAACCATCTAGAGATGTGCTATTGATCAAAGTCTGTATGTTTAGGGCCTAAGATAAACATTCTTTCAAGTGTTAAAAAGTAGACAAGACACATCTATGATTTTGTAAACATATTTGCATTTCTTCATAATTCTTTTGCATAACAGAGTTCCAATCACTCATATCAACTACAATTTTAATCAAAATGACTAATTTCATTCTCTGTATCCCCTTTTGTTTTTCTCATAAACACACACACTCCTGAGCAGATGATTAAGAACTTGGTGCCAACTGTGGCAGCTCAGGAGACAGCAGAGCCCAAGTGACCTGGAGCTGATGCTTCAATGTTATACATTATGTCCCACCCCGGCACCACACCAAGCTCTTCAAGAGTTATTGACCTCTTCTTGTGAGAACATGAAACTTCCCCTCATTTTTTTCCTGTCCTGGTTCCTTTTAATATTTCCACAAAAAACCCTTATTTCTTCTGAGAGAAAGGAGAAAAATTGTCACCTCAGATTCTCTTAGATTTCATAGTTAGGTCTTCCAGTATTGGACAAGCCAGAAGCAATCATTTCCATTATATGTGCATTCCTACTTTACCTCACACATTGAGCCCTATTTAGAAAAACTATTATATTAACCAAGCAAAGCTCTCCTTAGTCCAACCAGAGAAATGAAAAGTTGTGCTCTATTTGTGAAAAGTAATCTGCCATCATGTATAACTAATTAGAACAAATTTAAAAATCAGTCTTAAATAAACATCAAACTTTGCTTCCTTTTGGTCTTAGTCCTGTTGTTTAAAAAAGAAGGAAAAAAACCCAGATAAAACACATCCATCACTTTTTGTCACTTTCTATTGTGATACTCAAATACCACAGGTGGGATATATGTCTTTGTAAATAGAATACATTTATTTCACACAGTTCTGGGTGCTGGGAAGTCTATCGTGTGGTGCTATCATCTGGTAGGGGCCTATTAATTGCATCAAAATATGGCAGAGGACATCATATGGCAAGACAGAGCAAGCATGATGCATTGCATTTCTCTTCTGTTATTATAAAGCTACTCATGCTATAGAGGGTGTGGGTATAGGGATTCCACACTCATGCCTTTACCTAATCCTAACCACTTCCCATAGATCTCACCTGCAAATACCATCAACATATCATCTCAGGATTAAATTTTTAGCACACAAAATTTCTGGAGGACATACTCAAACTGTAGCATTTTTCTTCACTTATTCTGGTAGCCTTTTTTTCTATTTTATTGAGGCAGCTGTCCTTCCTTCCAATGTATGAGATGATATATTTTTGATTTATGCATCTCCAAAAGTTTTCTCAAGACAGCATGAGGCAAAGAACCAACCACGGAGACAAAAGAACTACAAATACGAAAACACTTTCACAGGGCTAACTTCCTTTTGCAAAAAGGGGAAAGACCTAATTTCATTTACACACAGAGACACAAAGATAACTAGCAGCCTCACTTCTACCTCTTTACCAAACATGATTTGTGTCTCAGCAAATCTCACTGGTTGGCTGTGACTGCTTAGGATAAGGAAGTTCAGGAAATCAAAAAGAATCTCCAGTGAATACTGCTTTTGAACATTTATTGATCTGGAGATGATTTACATTCTACTTTTCTACAAAATTATTGCTGAATGATATTAAAACTGGTGTTCAAGAATGGTACTATACTGTTATTCAGATGACATAATACAGAGCATATCAGAAGATACCACAAGCTTCAAGACAAACTACAGTAAAGATAAAGGAAAATAGACAACTAAGATTCTCTGCTCTCTACTACCTAGCAAAGATTTGTGATATCTGGGTTAAACGATCAAAATCAGACTCCCAACATTTTTGTTACAAGGAAAGAAAAATAATAGCTGTATAAAAAGCAAAGCAAAATAAGACTTGTTCAAGAACCCGATTAATGCAGAAATCAAAATAAACTAGGAGGGAAAATAATGCAAAACTGAGTTGACTTGAGTTAAAGATTTACTCTGGGATTTAGTAGAATTGGGCCTGTAATTTGGAGGTGTATGTTTGGAGGTATACTTCTGGGTTAACACCCAGCTCTAGTGGGCAAATTGACCTATGGATCTCTGTGGAACTCTAGCTATCAGAGACATACAGAACCAGGATGCATCTTTACATGCTAAGAATTACGAGGGAATGAGATTTTGGATTTAGGAAGACTGACCACCATATGAAAAATAGGTATACAAAGGGAAAAAAATTAAAAGCAAAGTTACAAGGTTACAGTTAGTTTGTTCATGGTAGACAGTCCTCAGTTTTCTCACATTTATCTTGACTCCAAGGGTTGTCCAAAACAGTACTGTAGGGCTCATGGTTTCTAGTATGATTCTTCCCTGTGCTAATCCCACAACCCATGACCCTCCTGCCACTACCACCACCACGTGATAGTCCTTTTCAGTGGAGAACGTTTGGATCAAACTACTTTTCAGATAATATTTGGATAGCAGAGTATTAATGCCAAGTAACTAATAATTTTAAAGTAGTTTTTAGTTTAAAATAAAGATCCATAGGTCAATTTGCAGGGATGGGGAAATTATGTGGACTAAATCTACCCTATCAAGGTATTCTCTTTTGCATAGTCGTGAATAAACTTTGACAGATTCACTTTCTTTTGGATTTCTTTTCTTCAAAAGGTTAACTTTATCCATGGGATATTAATTCTAGGATATTCAACCTTCTTTGAGAACTTTATTGATATAGCAAGTGATATCATGTATTGAAATTTATGTGCAAATTTTAATCCATTTCCTATTTCAATGCATTTGTCATTGATAGAATTTAAGACTGTAGAAGGGTTTATTTTTCTTGTTATTTCTAAAAAAGTTTCATATTTTATTTTTAGGGTAAAAGTTGTTGTTAAAAAAAGTGATAAATTGGAAAATAAAGTTAAAAGAATTGGACCACACATAGAAATCTTCCAGGTATTCCAAGTAAAAAGCAAACTCTTCATTACCAAAAACATCATTGACATGGTCACCCTCATGCAGGCTCATGTCAGGGGGTGGCTTGAACGCAAGAGATTTCAAAGACTAATGTCCAAGGTAAGACATGCATGAGATTTTATACTGTGTTCTAAAATCCTTAGTCATCTGGTCAATAGGTCTATAATTTTTCTAAGTAGAGTTCTGTCTACATATTTTTGATTAGGAAAATGTTATGAATAATCTGCTCTGGTGACAGCTTCAGATTGTGCCAAATCAGATACTCTTGAACAAAAGGCCCCACTTATCCTTAACAGTTCTGAGACCACTTACTCTTAAAACAGTATAAACTGTCTTTGCACTAATATTGTTTCTTCTTTGCTATTTATTTTCTCTTCAGAGGAACTTTCACTTCCCACACTTCTGGGTATTTTTTTGCAGTACACAAATATTACATTTAAAAAGAACTATGCCCTCCCTCCCAGTATCTATGTGGACAACTTTTATAGACAGCTCTCCTGGCTTTGACTCCTAAAATAAACTATGAGGAATTCTTTTGGCTGGGTAAATGCAAAAGAACCTGGCTGCATGCATCTTGGCAAACCTTTGAGAGATGTAAAATGTCCTTGCCTGGAAGGCTAAAGCTTGGTGACAAACTATAAAGAGAAAATGAGATAAGAGGTGAATTTTAATTCCTTTCTCTCTGGGAGGAGTCTTCTAGAATGGACTTTCAGGTGGCCCCCCCTGAACACATTTGTCCTGAGAGTGATGTAGCCACCGGGTACCCCTACCAAAAAGACCCCTGCCATAATAATAACACATAAACTTCTCTCCTAGTCAACAAGATCATTACAAAGAATGTCAGCAGGGTTTCTGCAGGGAGCTCATTGTGGTTTAAAGCCTCCTCTTTCTTATAAAAGCCAGGTTTACTATGAGATGGTGTCATAGACTCTGCCTCAAGAAAACTTGCTGAGCAAAGGTTACTATTTTTGTTTTTCTTGGTAACAACTTGTGAAACCTCTGTCTAGCCTAAGAATATGGGACATAAGAGTAACTGTTATGTACTGTACCCACTGTCATGTAGCTACCCCACTGAGTATAAATCTAAAAGAATTTCAAGATTTGGGGTTCAGATATTTTTAGGCATTAGTTGGTCTGAATAGCTGTAGCTTAAATAAACCTGCTTTCTGAAAATTCCTTGGGTGTCCAGCCTCATCTGTCTTATATCAATAGCACAGTGACACTGTTAGAAGTAGTTCATCTGCTTATCTCTGGGTATAAATTTACACATGTATTAGTTTGTACACATAATAGACATATGTAGTTCTGGTGATTGAACATGTTAATGCAGATAGGTGCTGTATTTGTTATATAAGTGAAATAATGGAAGCTTAGAGAAGTTAAGTCATTTGCTCAAAGTCAAGCAGCTGGTAAATTACAGAGCTAGGATTCAAACCTATGTCTGTCTGACTCCAAAGGCTGTGCTTATTTTGCATTTGGAATCACCTGTTTCAACTCCAGTAGCCATGGCCAGTTGCTGTCTAAACCAATTTAAAGACATATCTTGAACCTTTCTCTCGGGCTCTAGACCCAGGTATTAAATTGCCTGCCTGAAAGATCCATATTAAGTCACATTCCACACACTTCAAAGAACTCATTTTCTTCCTCCACACAGCACTTCCTCTCCTCTGCTACCTGTGTTCATATCTTCTCTCATCCCTTGTCCAAGCCATAAACCTGGAATTCTCTTCAATCCCTTCAACTTCTGTATTCCTATATCCAATTGGTTATGATTTTCATAACGTTATTTTTTTCCAGCAGTGCTAGGAAGCGCACCCAGAACCTCACTTGTCCAGGGCCTCATTCTTGCTAGGCAAGCATTTGACCACTTAGCTTCCTCCCCAGCCCAGCCACATTTCTTATTCTCTCTTATTTTGTGTGTTTCTTGCCAAAGCTTCCATCATGTAAACTTACATGGTGAAGAGCAGTAGTCTCAGTGACCCCTTGCCATGTATGTTTTCCCATCTCATCTTCTGCTACACACTGCATTTAAAACACTCCCTTCTTATGCCCTTATCTTTTGATAGCCCTGTACTGATTATAGTAGAGTGAACTTTCTAACATAATATGTAGGATCTGCTTGTTATGGCTCGTGCCTCTGTCCAACTTCAATACATGGCTCTTATTCACATAGTCCCAGTGTTCTAGCAAACTTCTAAATATTAGTATGGGTAATAATCTCTGGGTTTTATGCTGTTACCTTGGTCTGGAATACTCTTCCACCCATATCTTCATATGAACTCCTGATTTATTTTTCAAGATCATTGTAAGTATATGCAGTTAGACATTCTCCCTGATCCATCAAGCAGAGCTGATCTCTCCATTCTTCTTGGTCATTATAATGCACAGTTCTCTTCAGTGTAATGGTCTCATACGTGTCTGTCATGGGCAGTATATTTTACATGAATTTTGGGGAGCACATACCCTTTATTTTTGTATTCCTATCAATCACCGTACACTGTCTTGATGTATTATATACAGTGTCTCACTTTAACTATGTGCACTTATTACCTGCCATTTTTCTTATTTCACTTCTTGTTTTTGTATGTTTATGTTCTGTTTTGGTGAAATACATTGTAAACTCTATGAGGACAACAATCTGTCTTGTTTGCTACTGTTTCCTACTATTTTCAAATGTATAGTATCATGATTAATGTATGGGAAGCACTCAACAAATATCTATGGAGTGGGTGAATTGATTGGACAGATTATAGTTGTAGAAGTTTATCATGGCATTCTAACAAGATATATCTTTAAGGTTCTTTCAGCATAGTTTTGATGTATGCAGCATAATTTATAGCATTTCCTAGTATCAGGCAGAACTATGGTCATTCCTAATTTCTGGGGCAACAATAGCTCTAGAAAACTTAGTGAGCAAGAATGGGCCCAGGATGAGATTAAAAAGAGAAAGTGACAAAGAATATAATGAATTTCTATGTTGAGATAGAATTGGAGATGAAAAGAATGGTAAGTACTTTTAGAGGAACAAATCCAATATGAACTAGATTATTGACTTTTATTTGGTTATAAAATTTGTTTGTGATCACTGATTTTTTTTTTTTTAAATTCCATCACTGGCATGGTACTTTATATAAAATTGGATGACTGCTTTGTTGATATGGTTAAAGTTGTTTTGTCTACTGTCAAATTGCTAGTGGGACAGTCCTGTGATTCAATCAGTGGTGTTTCCAGGACTGTGCCTACGTGAAGGGATGCTATCGGGGGAATTCTTAAGAGGCTTTCTGCTCTAGAGGCTGCACAGAAAATCACTGGATAATTGTTAGCACGGTGGCAATCTTTCCACTGGGAGACTTCCATCATCTTACTACGTGGCTGCTACTACAAACATTTTTGCTTTGGACAGTGTCTGCTATAATGTCACTTTAAGATCACTCTAGAGACTATATGATTTCCAGTATTTCTTGTGAGATGCTCTCAGTTTGGGTTCATTTGGAAATAATGAAGCAGTATTGAATTACCTTACCAATCATACACAAGAAGAGTATGGAGAGAGCTCTATTTAACACTCAGCATAACTCAAATTGTCCTTTTCTTTTCAAAATCTCTGTTTTGTTTGCATGTGTTTGAGTGTGTTAATGATGTTTAAAAAATCATAAAAACACAAAACAAAATAATTTCCTCAAAGTAATAACTCTAAGAGTTCACTATTTTACTCTGAATATTTATAATTAAAATTTTTGAATTTTAATCCCATGTGTTACATCCAGTTGCTGTTGGCCAAAGATACTGAAATTCCAGCACATTTGAATGGATGATGGTTGCAGTAAGAAATAATTTTTGAAATTGGCTTGGAATACCATTTGTTAAATAAATAAAATTGGAACAACAATGGAAAATCTGAGCTTTATGGTTACTATACCAATATCCTATGCATAGGTCAATGTCTTTAAAATTTTGGAGGTTATAGAATCTTTTGAAATTTTGATGAAGTATGGATTGCATCTCATTATCCACCCCCCCCCCAAACAATAACCCTAGATGTAATAACAAAATACTTAAATCTATTCAGGAACTCTGTGGAATAGGTAGCATTATATAATTTTACTACATAAATATATTGGCTTCTAGCTACCTAGAAAATTATGTTCATTTATTCAGTAATGTATATTTCATGATAAAAAGTTTGATGGAAATTTTATTAAAAATTTGATGATAATTACTGTATATTGGGCCTAAGCCCAGTATCTGTTATGCAGATAACACAAAGAAGGCTTAGGTTCTGTGGGGCACTTAGCAAAGCCATGTAACCCAAAGGGCTGTGTCTAGTACTGCTGTCACTTCACTAAATCCTATGAGGTCTGATGCAGACACTGAACCCAAGTTATCCCTGTCTCCAGAAATGCTGCCCTTAGAAAATGGATATTGCAGCCACAATTCATTTGCCACACAAATATGTTTCCCAATGTTTTCCTTGTGAAAGCTTTATTACTTTTGATTCAAGGTCCAGGGTTGGTGCAGATAGTGAATGACATTTTGTCCCATGTTTATATCAAAGCAACAGTAAAGGGATGGGTCATGAGCATCTGCCTTTGGCTTCAAAATTGTAGGAAATGGGTTCTGCTTCCCGTTAGGATTCATATGGTGGGAAATGCCCCAAAATACAACCAATTTATCATCATCATTATTATTTTAAAAGGACAAGACTCTTTGAACAAAAGGTAGATTAAACATAAACATTGGAAAATGTTACTTAAATGTTGAAAAACACTAGCAAATATTCAGAATCTACAATCTGATGGAAGAAGAGGCAGATAGTGAAATTATGCTAAATAATGTTTGTAGTTAGGCAAACAAGAAATATTATTTTGTCAATAATGATGTAGTAAGAAGTGTAGGTTTGAATATAGTATTTAAAATTTTCAGAGAAGAATCAGAAAATCTATCAAAGGTGAAGAAAAATAAAATGATAACTACAACCTTCAACGAATAATAGTAAAAAGAAAATAGCACGGTAGAATCAAATGTATAAAGAAATGAACTAAAAAAAGAAACAAAAAATCACAAAATAGGCAAAAAACACAAAGTTCAATTAAATTAACAGGAATATAGGATATAGATGAAAATGTAGGTTCTTGAGTATTTCTATTCTGGTTTTGAAACTAATATTGCAACTAACTAGGTATGAGGCCTTGAAAACTTATTTAAAGTTTTTCCACTTCAATCTTTTCTTTTATAAGATGGTATACAAAGCACATCAAAGGAAAGCTACTAAGGAAAGTTTAGAAATTTTAGTACATTCTAGAACAATGAAATAATGAAAAAATAAATGAATTAAATCTGTAATTCAAGAAGTCAAGAATAGGAAACTAAAAAGGAAGGAATTAATAGAGAAATTAATGATCTATAAAATGTAAAAAAAATGAATTTTAAATAAAATGGAACTGGCTGTTTAGAAAACAAAGAAACTTGAAATGAATTTTTAAAGCTTAATTTTTTAAAAAAAACTTATAGTAAAATGTGTAAAATGCATATATGGAAGAATGATATAGTCACAGGTAACTTAATTAAAAAATTAACACATATGTAGGAAAGGTATAATTTCTTTAATATTCAAAGTTTTAAGAAATCAGAGAAAACCTGTAAGAGCCCAGCCAAGACTAAGTAAAGGACATGAATGAATAGTTTTCAAAGAAAAGAAATAGAATTGAGCACCCAGAGTTGACAGCTCAGGAAATAATTATCCATTATAGAATAATTCCTTAATAAAAGTTTTTATATACCTTTATTTTATTTATTCATTTTTATGTGGTGCTGAGAATCAAACCCAGTGCCCCACACATGCCAAGCAAATGCTCTACCACTGAGCCACAGACATAGCCCCTTAATAAAACTTTATTTATCTTTCTAGTTGAATGTGATACATATTATAGAAATATGGACAGCAAAATAGGAAGCATCTATGAAAGTAGATGTCATTGAAACCTCTGTTCTGTAGGAAGTAGGACTATCTGAGGGCAAGAACTCAGGGAGGAGCTCTGATCTTCAGGGAGATCATCTCAGTCCAGAGTGCATCTATTCAACCAGCACAGGAATCAACAGTCAATACAGCCAAAGTCTAAGAAATTGGGTGAAATAAATTAGACAAAAAGGGTAGATCAAATTAAGTATAAATAACCATACTGTTTGTATTATTTATAGGCTTTGTATCATGGACCAAATTTGAAAGAAGTTATTAACATGTATCGGGGATTAATCCACCGTGTAAGGTGTCGACTTGGTCTCCGGAGGACAAGACAAATTATAAACTTTTCAGAGCTAGAGGAATGGATGGACAGAAAAAAATGTAAGTGACACAGTCATTTCTTGTTGGATTTTAGGTTTGGAATTGTTTAACCATTGAAATTTTATGTATAATTACCTTTAGTAACCAAAGGTAAGCCATATTTTATATTCCTGAAAGCTATTTGCATTTTAAGGTGGTATATTTATATAATTGGATTAATTCATTATGATCCTCTGTTGATAAGGAACAAAAAGCTCATTCTGGCTAAGCAAAAAAAAAAAAAAAAATCCAAGGATATTGAAAGGGAGATTATCAGAAAGAGAACTGAAGAATTAGATCAGATGGAATATGAATCAGAGGTGCTATAGAGAGATGGAAGGAACAGGAAAGAAAAATTTTTACTTGTCCCTGGGAGACATATCAGCTTATATCATTTAAAGAATTCCTTTCGGGGGGGGCAGGTACCAAGGATTGAACTCAGGGGCACTCGACCACTGTACCACATCCCCAACCCTATTTTGTATTTTATTTAAAGACAGAGTCTCTCTGAGCTGCTCAGCACCTTGCTGTTGCTGAGGCTGGCTTTGAACTCACAATCCTCCTGACTCAGCCTTCCAAACCTCTGGGATTACAGGCATGTGCCATAGCACCTAGCTCATTTAAAGAATTTTTGTTGTTGTTGTTGTTCCAAGGCTTTAAATTCAAATCCAGGGAGACCTCAAAAGATTGGTTTGGCCTGAGTCATATTTCTGACTCTTTGCAGTGGGAGGGTCAACCTTGCTTGAGAGTTGCCCAGAGGCTCTGTCCACTGAAGGAGGGATTGCTGTGTAAATGAAAATTAAATATTGATAGCAGAGGAATAGTCAGTGGATACTGAGTGGACAAAACCACACATTGCTTGTTAGTGTTGGCAGTCTATCCCTGGCTCTGCAATGTGTAGCTCAGCTTTCAGAGATCACGATTTCTATTTATAATAAATGAATCAAGTATTGCTGAGGACTAGGATTGATTATTAGATCTGAATAGATTATTAGTTTCTCGAATAACAAAAAATCAATTATGAAAATAAATTATATTTAATTTATATCATTTTATGGATTTATAAGACAAAAAGTATTATATGTTTGGCCATCTCAGCTAGTTATAAAATGTTTATTTCACATTAAGTACTGTAAATTTCATGAAGACAGGGACTACAAATTTTTCAATAAATGCCACTATTTAACGAATGCCTGGTTTATCAGAAGGGCTCAAGAAACTTGGTAAAGGATCGTTTTCATTAAGTTTATTAGTCATGATAAAATTATTTGCCAAAAGATATTTATAAATTGTCAGAACTCTTTGGATTAGAACAATTCCTTTCCTGTGGCTAGAAGTTGAGGAAGGAAGAAGTTAGAGACAGATGTTCCAGCCACAAGCACTCAGAGTTGAAGACCTTCACTCCTAAACTCTCCACCCACTAGTATAAAACTCAGTAAGAGATTCTTATCTTTTATGTATAGTAGCTTTATATTCTATCATCTAATATGTATATACTGATTTTATAATATTTATCAAAATACACACTAGGACTTGACAGTGGTACACTGACCTCTCTTTACCCCTCCACTTTAGTTTTCCTGCTGACCTCCAAATCATATACCATTCCCATAAGGGTCCTGCTATTTTATGCCATTTTAGCTTGGTACCCAAACCTCTGTCACAAATTCATTTTTAACCTTATAGAACCTTGCTTATTTTTCTTCGTTTTACCTTCTTTCTGTGGCTTCTCCTCCTTGATTTGTAAGTGGAGATTTCAATATTTTTTTCATCTTAAAATAACCTCTTAGTTTGGAAGGGATAAACAAAAAACTAATGTAGTGTCTGTTTTCTATCCTGGACCCTGATCAGACTTCTAGTGGAGAACTCTTTGAGTAAAAAGTCCTTAAAAAGTAAGAGGTGGTCCAAGTGGACAGATGGAGGAGGAACCGTGTTCTAGGCAGAGGAACTGCAAGTACAAAAACTTTCAGTTGCAGGCTTGCTGGTTTGGGAGGAAGTCAGGAGACTGCTTTTATGTGGAATTGAGTTTGTGAGTGTGAGCAGATCTATATGGGATTGGAGAAGTAGTGGGGAGCTCAGGTCATATCACACTTCATAGGCCCTTGTAGTTTACCCTAAGAGAGCTGGGAATCCGTTGGAAGATTTTGGACAAAGAACTATGGTGCAGCTTATGTTGAACACACCACTCTTGTACTTGTGTTGAGAATAGGCTCACAAGACACAAAGAATAAAGGAGCTCAGTTAAAACAGATGGTTCTCTGCCCAACACAGGATCTGAACAGTAAAATAGGGTTAGTTAGCTAGCTGAATAATTTAAAGAATTACCAACAGATGTATCCATTTACATGGAATGTTAAAGTAACTGTAGCATCCACAGAATTTACGAGTTCTTTTTGTCTTCCTGTTCCTAGAAAAATTTCTCTGACCTTTCTCTGTGTATTGACTGGTAATTGGGTGATGATATTTGACAAATCTCCCTGTACATTTTTAAGCATCTTTTAGTCCTTTGAAAGTTTCATTAACTTCCATGATTTAAGTTTTATATTAAACCATGGTTCTACTAGTCTGGCATATTAATTCTGCTAGTGTTTTGCTGAAGGTTTGCTTGTAGGGCATCCTTTGCAAGCTAGGGACACTGTGATCTCTTTATTTAGTCACAAAGCCATAATGTTAATATGTGCATCACTCTGATCTTATGAGAAACATCTAAAACTGATTAGTTCAAGGAAACATAACCTAAAGATACATATACTTTTTTAAAGGAGAAATATGTTTACATAAGCAAAAAATAAAAATGAAAAGTAACATTCTTTGTGTCTTACATGTAGTTTGGGTTTCTCCAGATTAAGATCCCAAAACTGAGGATTTCAAGTGCAAATATATCGGGAGTTGATCCCAGAAGATGCGTTAGTGGAATGGAGAGGTGAGACAGGAAAGGGACAGAATTCAAAACAGAATGCATTATTAAGGGAACTCAAGAAAACAGTAGAGCCAACTTGCTTCAAGTTTTTGTCCACAGTTTCTTCCCTGCTCCCTAGTCAGGAATTGAGGGCCAGTCCAGTGGGGGTCTTAACTCCTTGGTATGTCTTGCTTCCTGCACAGGTGGGCAGAATAAAGTCCTGGGCAATGAAATGCAGATGCTGGCACTTCCAAGTTAAGTCAAAATGCACAGGAAAGTAATAGAGAAGAAGATATTCATGTGGCATCAAAAGCAACTGCTTTACTTTATTTGCCAAGAGAGAGAGATGCATAGATGTAAAAAGTATAAATTTGTTTTTTTTGCTGCTGGGTTTTAAGATTTTTCCAAATCTACTACTCATATCTACTACTCATATTTCTCCAAATCTAGCTACTCATATCAGGGAATTACTTAATATTTCTAAATACTAACTATTTCTTGAATTTGTTGATATCTCATCACTATCTCCCTCAATGAATGAACCAGTGAATGAATGAATGACTATAAAATTGAAATCCATATGGTTGAGTGCCAGGATGATATAGTCCTGTTAGAAACTACTCTGATGCCTCTTCTCATTGGGAGACCTTACTTCAAAGCTAGATCTGCTTCAGGCAGTCCCTGTCTTACTGTCAATACGGACAACATTCTGCTTTATGGGGTTAATCAAACATATTTTAGAGTGGAGACTCAATATCACCTTTTAAAAATATTTTTTATGGGTACTTATAATTATACATAACTGTAGGATTCATTATGCCCTAGTCGTACATGCACATCACATAATTTGATCAGACTCATTCCCCAGTACCTTCCCTTTCCCTCCTCTCCTCCTTCCCTCATCCTCTTGCTGTACTGATCTCCCTTCTATTATTATTTAAATTAGTATATTATAATTATATGTAATTATATAATATATGGGATTCATTCATAGCATACTTTGGTTTATTTTTTTTCCCCAGTATTTCCTTATGCCTTCCCCTCCCTCTTCCCTCTTAATCCCTTTTCTGTACTCTTATTATTCTCCGCTATATTTGAATAAAATTTATTTTTTTAAAATCCCGTCCCCACCCCTGTCTCTCTGTCTCTGCCCTCCACATATGAGAGAAAACATTTGACCATTGACTTTCTGAGTCTGGTTCATTTCGCTTAGCATGGTGTTCTCCAGTTTCATCCAGCAAACGCCATAATTTCATTCTTCTTTATGGTTGAATAGAATTCCGTTGTGTATATAGACGACCTTTTCTTTATTCAGCCATCTTTTGATGGGTACCTAGGCTGATTCCATAAATTGGCTATTGTCAAAATCATCAAAATCACATTTTTGAAAGGAAAAAAATGTTTATGGAGAACTTTACTTACAAAATGTATGCATCAGTTCTCTTGGTCATTATCTAACTCCTGTCTAATGTCAAGTACAGGAGATCGGTGACAGGTGGCCCAACTGAGTGGTTTTTGATGGTAGCCTGGAACTGGAGGTGCAGATGGGCAAAGTACCATAAAGTAGGAAGTAGGAACTTAGGAAGTCAGTGAGAAAAAGTAGACATTGCTCCCAATTAGGGGCTAAATCAGAAATAGAATAAGCAGTACAAACTGGAATCAGCAATTTATGCAGTTAGGATGTGAGTGGGGAGACAGAGAGAGATGAACAATTAAAGGACTTTTAATAAATAATGAATACTGAAATGGATCAACAGGTGTCAGGCTTCCAAGAAATTTTGACAATGCTGGCATGGATGTGAAAAAAATGAACTCTAGTTCACTGTTTATGGGAATGTAAATTAGTACAGCAATTATGGAGAACAGTATGGAGCTTGCTCACAAAACTAAAATTAGATCTACAATGTGATCCAGCTATTCCACTTCGGTGTGTAAATCCAAAGGGAATAAAATCAGCATATAAAAGAGATACTTACACACCTATGTTTATAATGCCACTATTCATAAGAGCTAAGATGTAAAATCAGCCTAGATGCCCATCAACCCCTGAATGAGCAAAGAATATGCAATATATATATATATATATGTGTGTGTGTGTGTGTGTGTGTATGTGTATACACATGCACACATTGTGTGTATATGTATATATGTTTATGGATATGATATGCACACACACATAATGTGTATATATACATGTAGTGTTATTCAGCCATAAAGAAGGATGAAATCCTGTCATTTACAGAAAAATGGGTGGAACTGAAGGACATTATGTTTAATGAAATGACAGATACTGAAGGTCAAGTACTAATGGCCTCTTCCTATGTGGAACTTAAAAAACGTCAACCTGAATATAGAATAATGATTACTGGAAGTTGGGAAAGGGAGTTGGAGGGTGGATAAACGGAGGTGGGATTTGATTAGCATGTTCTTGTATTAGGATATCACACTGAATCCCAGTAATATGTACAATGAATACATCTTCTTTGAAAATAAAACTTTTATATAGCTATGTTTTATGATGTAGTTCAAGCATTGATAGAGGTAGGGTCATGAAACCAGAATCTAGGAACCCCTGTTTTATTTGGGGAGTCCAGTCTGAGTTTCACAACCATGCAGTGCCAGCTAGGGGTGCACTGCCTCTGTCCCTTTGCCATCAGGCTCTTTTTTTATTAGTTGCTCAAGACAATACAATGATCTTGACATATCATACATTTGATTCAAATGGGATATGAATTCTCATTTTTCCACGTGTACAGATTGCAGGATCACATGGTTATGCAGCCACATATATACATACTGCCATACTAGCTAGTGTCTGTTGTATTCTGCTGTCCTTCCTATCCCCCCTCCCCTCCCCTCCCCTCCCATCACTTCTCTCTACCCAATCTACTGTGACACATTTCTCTCTCTCTCTTTTTTCCTTCCCCCTCACACCATCATATATATATTTTGTATAACGATGAGGGTCTCCTTCCATCTTCCATGCAATTCCCCTTCTCCCTCCCATTCCCTCCCACCTCTCTTCCCTGTTTAGTGGTAATCTTCTTCTCATTCTCTTCCTCCCTACTCTGTTTTGAGTCACCTCCTTATATCAGAGAAGACATTCGGCATTTGTTTTTTAGGGATTGGCTAACTTCACTTGGCATAATCTGCTATAATGCCATCCATTCCCCTGCAAATGCCATGATCTTGTTATTTTTTTAGTGCTGACTAATATTCCATTGTGTATAAATGCCACATTTTTTTTTATCCATTCATCTGGCTGGTGTCCCCATCCTCCCTCACCGCTCCATGTGTGTCCTTCCCAAAGCTGCGCGTTTGCGCTTGGTGTAAGAGGACGACCTTCCCTGATAGAGGAGGACCGTTCTTCGGTCAAGGGTATGTGGGTAGCTGCGCTCCCCTGCTAGAACCTCCAAACAAGCTCTCAAGGCCATCAGGCTTCTTGAATCCTGGAAGCATGTCAGCAGATAGGAAAATAAAGCTGGGGTCAAAGTCATTTCAAATCCAGATGAAACTTCGAGGCGGCTTGCACTTGGTATCATTTATAAAGAACTCATTTTCTTTTACCTTTTTGGACTTTCAGACTATGAAACAAAGTTTGCCAAGAGAGAAGATTGGCAGGGATTAGAAAGAAGTGATCTCCTTAAGTACTTTAGAGACTGTGGCCATTACCCAACCCAGAAGCAGGTTGATGAGTATTGGGACTTGTTCAACAAAGGTAAGGAGCACCTGATGTCTTTTCTGCTCTTCCCTTCTTATCTTTTCACTTTCTTCTTTCCTTCTCCCTACTTTTCTCCCTTGTTTCTTCCTTAGTTGATTCATCCCTACCTTTCTTCTCTTACTTTCACTAAATTTGTTTTAAAAGTCATTTTCCTCAAATCTCTTTGTATCTGAGTTTAGTACATATGAAGGAAGGCAGGTTAAACAATGTTAATAAATTTATTTTTAACTTTTATATCTCGTGAATATTTATTTTGATATGACAAATTCCACATAGCTGAATATACTTTAAATGATAAAATTTTAAATACTGATACTAATAATTGTTCTCCTGGATAGTTACATTTGGTTCTGTTAAATACAGTCAAGTTTAAATATATCAATATCATAAACTATTTCAATACAATAGAATTTTACCATTAGAAAATTATTTCTTTTCTGAACAGTAAATAAATGAGAGGATAATATTGTCTGACTATATTTAACAATGTATATGGAGTAGCATTTCACTCTTCTCTGGATCCTTAGTAGATTGGTGGGAATTGTCACTGGGGTATAGGAAATACCAATGAATTTTCCTTAAGATTCTTTTCAGTTTTTCTTTCATTTATTTCTCAGATTTGTTGAAATGTAATTGACAAGTAAAAATATTCAAGTTGCTTGATATAATCATTTACCACAATTACCACAATCAAGTTAATCAAGCCACCTAGCATCATCTATAGTTGCTCTTTGTGTGTGTGTGTGCGTGTGTGTGTGTAAGTGTGTGTGTAGGTGAGGGGGTGAGGCCACTTAAGATCTTCTCTGAGCAGATTTTAAGTAAACAATACAATGTTATCAACTATTTTTCTTCCTCCTTTCTCTTATTTGTATTATAGATCACGGTGCTGTATATTAGATGTCATTAGTATCCACTCCATAAAAGAAAGTTTGTATGTTTTAGCCAACATCACCTCATTTCACCCAAAACTCTTCCCTTAGCAACCACCATTCTACTTTCTGCTTTCATGAGTTCAACTGTTTTTTAGAGTCCACCAATAAAGGAGTTCATACATTTTTTGCCTTTCTCTGTCTGGCTTATTTTACTTAGCACAGTGTCTAGTTGGTACATTGTCACAAGTACATGATTTCCTTCTTTTACAAGACTGAATCATATTCCATGTGTACATGTAGATTTTCTTCATCCATTTGTTCCTTAGTAGACATTTACTTTGGTTGCATTCCTTGATTATTGTAAGTAATGTTGCAGTGAACATATGTTTACAGATATCTCTTAGACATACTAATTTTATTTTCTTCAGATATTTACCCAGGAATGGGTTTTTGGGTTTTGTGGTTTTTAATTAAGAATTTCCATATTGTTGTCCATAATGGCTGTACCAATGCACAATCCTATCAACAGTGTTTTTGTGTTCCCTTGTCTCCTAATCTTCACCAACATTTCTTTCTTGTCTTTTTGATAATAGTCATCATAACGTATGTGAGTTGCTATCTTATTGTGGTTTTGATTTGTATTTTGCTGATGGCCATTTGGGGAAAAAAAATCTATTCAGGTTCTTTACCCATTTTTAGTTGAATTCTTTGTGGTTCCCTTGCTATTAAGTTATGTGAGTTTGTATATTTTGGATGATATTAATGCTTTATCACACATAATGGCACGCAAATATTTTCTCCTATTCTGTAAGTTGCTTTTTCATTTTGTTGGTTGTTTCTTTTGCTCTGAGAAGGTTTTGAGTTTGATGTAGTTCCACATTTTTGTTTATTTGGTGGATTTTGTTTCTTTGATTTGTTTGCATTTGGGATCATATCTCAAAAATCTTAGCTAAGAACAGTGTGAAGGAGTTTCCACCCTGTGCTTTCTTCGAGGAATTTTATGGTTTTCAATCTTAGATTTGAGTATAATTCCTTTTGAGTTAATTTTATATGTATGAGATAAGGGTCCAATATCCTATCGCACAAGGATATCTGTTTTTCTCTAAGCCATTTATCGAAGATGCTCTCCTTTCTCCATTGTAGAGCACCATTGTCAAAGATTAGTTGTCTATGTGTGGGCTTATTTCTGGGCTCTCTATTTTGTTCTATTGGCCTCTTCATTTTCCTGCCTGTGCCATAGTGGTTTTTTTTTGGTAATATCATTTGAAATCAGGAAGTATGATGCCTCCAATTATTCTTTTTCAAAATTGATTTGGCTATTTGGGATTTTTTTTGGTTTGTTTTTATACAAGTTTTAGGTTTGCTTTTTCTAAAATGCTTTTGGAATCTTGGTAGGGATTGCATCAAATCTATAGGTCATTTTGGGCAGCACAGTTACTGTAATGTTCTTCCAATCCATGAAGATAGGCTACCTTTCCATTTATTTGTAACTTTCGTTTCTTTCATCAGTGTCTTTTAGTTTTTAATATGGAGATCTCTCATCTTCTTCTTTAAATTTATTCCTAAGGATTTTATTTATTTTGATGCCATTGTCAAAGAATTTTAAAGTTTTCTTTTCAAATGATTTGTTAGTGTAGGAAAATGCAAATTACTTTTGTATATTAGTTTTTTTTTTCTTTACTAATGCTGTGGCTTTCTGATGTGTTTAGAGATAATATGTCCACAATTTAATCAAGAATCAAAGGTAAACAAACTAAAACATTTCAGGACCGATTTTTGATATAGGGAAAGACTCACTCCTGAAAGTGTGAGTAAATATTGAAGCTTCATTGTATTTTGGAGCTCCTCCCCTTCATTCTTAGTGCAGATTTACCCAGTTCTTCATCTACAACATTGTTTTGCTGTTGTCCTAGTACAATGAACATTTTTCAAGACTTTGATAAATATTCATTCACTTTTTGACAGAGACATCCAAATCACTTTGCATTTCTGTGGTTATGACTAGGTTGTTTCAAATTATTTTTCCTAATGACCAAAATAGTGAATATAAAAAAATGTGGGAAATACTGTAATATATAAAATTTCTAAGAAATCAAATTTGGTAACAGTGGATTTCTATCTTTCCATTTTTTTCCTGTGCACATTATGTTAATTTTTATGAAAATTGATATTTTTACATATTGCTGGAGTATCTGATTTTTTGCTTTTTAATAAGTTTCCAATCCATAAATATATTTTATCACATTATTTATGACTAGTAATCTGTCATGATTATATCTGTCCTATCATACATTTGCTGTTTTACATTTATGTTGTTTTATTTTCCTTATAATAATAAAATTTTTAAAATTAAGCAAAGCAAAATACTAAGTGTTTCAGAACTTTACAAATTAGTGTTAGCAATTTAATTATAAGGCTTTTTTCAAGTTAGTAGTTTCATAGGGATATTGTCCTCTTCCAATTACTTTGGGCTACATGATAATGGGTTAGATTTAGAGCATAGCTCTAGAATTAACTTGTTTAGGTTTTTTTCCTCACTTTACCTCTTAACAGCTATGTGTCTGGACAAGCTGTTTATTGCACCTATGCTTGTTTTTCTCAATTATAAAAAAAATGATAATACCTACATCATTGGACTATTGTGAGGCTTAAATGAAATTATTCATGTAAAATATGTGAGCAATGATAAGTGCTCAGTAAATGTTTGCTAATATTATTCATTAATAATTCCTGTACTTCCATATTCTTATAATTGTTTTCAATTATTTTTATTTTGAAACTGTCTAAATATTGAATCCATTGGATGCTGACTCATTTTTATAGAGATTTTTGTATTAAATGTCATCCATTGGCTTCTACATGTATGTTTGGTTTTGATTATCATAATGAACTTCTTGCTAAAGCAGGTGGTATTCTCATTTATGCTCATTTTGAAGATAAGAGAACTGAGACTTAGAGGCTTTCTAAACTCATTGTTAAACTGAAACTTTAACCCTTCAATCACAGGTCAATACTCTTTTCATTTTATCATGTAGAGACATTTTTAAAGATCATTATTATGAAAACATAATTGGATGATTAAGACATCTCAGCAGCAGAGAGTGACTTTTATTTATTTTTCTCCTATTTGCTTAATGCTTTGCAGTATAGTAGGTTTTCTGCAAATGAATGAGTCTATTAAGATTCATATTAAAGTTAGAATTTTCAAAATTGTTTTTATACAAATACCTAAGACTAGGATGCTTTCTCTTTGAGAAAGGGTCCATTACAACATTGTAATTATATGTCCCATTCTATTGTTCTGTTCAGTAAAACTAGTTCTTTTGGTGCAGAGGAAGCTTTTTCTTCTTTCACTTAAAATGGAGGCACTATTCTAAAGTAGTGGAAAGAAAATAATATTTATGGAAAAAGGAACAAAACTGTTGGATTTCTGTTTGCTACTAATATATATTCCATTTTAAAAGAATCTGATTTTATGCATTTTAGATTGTCAGTCATCTTCATTCATACTGACTTCTTTGATTGGAGATAATAGCTCCAGATGTGCAACCTACACATTTTCTCATCCAGTAGAATATTTCACCTAATGCAGATGTAGTTAATTCAATTGATTAACTTCTTCAGTGTACAGCACCAAGTAGGTCACATTCCTAAAACTGTCTGTATGTCTTCAGGTATTTTTAGCTTTTTTTTTTCATTCTTTCTTTTTTCTTTCTTTATTCTTATCACTATGGTAACAAAAGAATTTGTGACTGAGGACATGAATTTCATCTGAAAATCTTCCTTTGGGAGAATGAAGCATCTTCAAGCTGTGTGTAGTCTGATCTTAAGAGCTGCAGACCACACAAACATGAGAACTTTTTCCTGATATTCACTTAAATCCAAAATAAATGAAACCATTGACAATAGAAAATAGCACTACTGAAAGTAAGGGGAAAAATGCATTGTGCTTGTAGATCATCATCGAATCACACATTTGCCTATTCTGCAGAAATTTGAACTATCAAGATTCTCCCAACATGTAAATTAAACTTTTAGTTCACTTTCTACAATTAGAATGATCAGAAACTGAATGGGATGCTAAGTCCATTTTTCGTGTGGAGCTCCAGTCAAAAATCAAAAAGA